GTGTGTTATCAGTGTGTGTTGGTTTAGTCTTGACTTGAGTTCCAGTTCGACTTTGCTGCATACTTACAAATTGTCTGACCATGGATAAATCACTGTCCTTCTTAGGATGTGATTCTTCATCTGTAAAGCAAAAAGGTGGAACTATTGAGCTTCAAGTTTCCTTGCAGCCTAATGTTCTGTGAGATTTTGAAAGCAGGGCAAGCATAGGTTTCAAACGTAGGCACTCTTTCAGATAAGCCGTTCAGCAGTAGCTGAGATCCCCAAGACTTTGTAGAAGCCTCCCCCTCCTCTCCCTTTTCCCTCTCTTAGAAAATATTAATAGCCAAGGGCCTCGCTGAGTGTGGTTTTTAATAGAATTCAATTTCAGTCCATTTACTGTGGGTCTTTGCATGCTGACTCGGTAATTTGAACTCTGCCGTGCCTGATGGCCTGAATGCATTTTCCCTGCCTCCTCTGCCCACTCTAGGCGGGCGAAGGCTCTGGGAATAGGGAGCGGGACATTTTAATCAAAGCAGCTGCAGATCCACCATTCAACCTCACAGCCAGTTTTGTCTTTCCTGCCCTGAGGCATGTAATGAGGATACCAAGGGCACTGGCACCCTCAGGATAGGGGGCAATGCCCTTTCTTTCCTGACAGTAGCCTCACCTTGCAGCCCGGAGACTGTTGGCCTCTGGATAACCCATCAGAAAAAAACTATCTTGCTTTTTGGCTATAACTAGAGGACAACTGGTCCTGGGAGCCCTCAGAATTATTTCCCATTGATTGCTATTGGGTCATTGCTCTGCCTAGGAAGGGCCTAGGTGTGGTGTGGGGCTTCCTCTGATACTTCTGGATGGGAACTCTCATCTGTAGGGCAGTAGAGTGGAACTGTTGAGAACTTGTCCTGTTTTACCTGAGTGTGACCCAAGGGTTTGTGGGGAGGCTGATTCCATTTAGCGTACAAGCTGTGGGACTGTGGAAGGCAAATGTATAGGTAATAACAGCCATACTATAAATGGAGAAATTGAGGCTAAGGAGGGAGGGGAAAGGAAATGAATGTTTGCTCTGTGCTTCTTTAGTATCAAGCACTGAGCTGGGATACAGTCATTTAGTTCCCTCAGTATCCTTTAGAAAGATATGACGTTATCACTGTATATAGATCAGGAACAGGAGGGTGAATACAGCAGCTGCCCCAGGGTCACACAGCTCCCAGACGTTCAAACTGGCATTCAAAGGAAGCCTCATCTGTCTTCTCCCACAGGTCACGTTGTTTGAAATGGTGGGACAGATGCTCTGAAGTGGCTTTGCTGATCCACTCCAGCAGTGGTCTCTTAACATGCCTGTCACCCCAAACAGCTCACAATATTCTAAAAAACTACAGTGTGCTAATCATTACTCTCCTGAGTCTGATTTGTTGGATATGAGGCAGAGCCTGGGCTCATGTATTTTTAAAAAGCTCTTCCAAGTGATTATGATGCTTCGGAAAGCACAAGGCTGGAACACATGGCTTTTCTGATGACTTCATTTCTCAGAAGCACAGATCTGGTCCAGCCTTGCATTTGCCACAAGTAACATTTGCCACCCAATCCATTATTCATGGGTTCCAGGTTCAATGCTTAACAGCTTTTCAGCATCTAGAATGTGCCAGGTGTTGTGCTAGACATTCTGGCTGCAAAGATGAATAAACCATGCTGCTGCCTTGAGGGACATCCAGGTAGCGGGAGAGATGAATGTGACAAGGTAAGTCCAAATAGCTGCAGCAGAGCTGACCTTGTGTTGCTTTGGGGACACAGATCAAGGCTTTGCAGCAGTGATCCCAGATCAAGACCTGTAGGAGCTGGCAGGTGAAGACACGGTGGAAGGGATAGGAGTAAACGGTAAGGCCGAGGAGTCCAGCACAGGTCCCACAGGCCCGGCACAATGGTTCAGGGCTGTGTGACAGTGGAACGGGGGTACTGTGGGAAATGGACAGAAGGTGAGCCTAGAAAAGTGAGATGGAGAAAATACACAGAAGACTAAGTGTCGTGTGAAGCGGTTCAGGCTTTATCCAATGTGATGGGAAGCAGGAAACATTTTTATGCCGTGGAGTGGCACAGTTAGATCACGTTTTAGAAGGGTCAGTGTGACAGGAATGGCAAGATAAACTGGAGGCAGGAGAAGCCAGCAACGGAAGAACAAATTAATTGCAGAATTATGAATTTATGTATGTCAGAAAGCACCATAAACAAAATTTGAAAGCAAAGCACTTGGAAAGCATATCAGTAGCATTTTGTGATAAAAATAATATTCTTAAAAGTACAAATTGGTAATAAAGATAAACATACCAATATCAAATAAATAGAAAATTCATAAGAAAATAAATACAAATGGTCCAAAAGCATATGAAAATGTTATTCACTGATAAAGAACATTAATGTAACATGTTGAATTGACATTGACACATTATTGTGTCTACCAAAGATTTGATTGAATGATAATACCCAGTGTCAGGGTGCAGAGGACAGGATACTCTGGAGGCTGCAAATAGGATACTGTTTTGGTATAAATTTTTGGGGAAGCAGTTGACAATATGTATAAAAATTCTTAAAAATAGCCAAGCAATTTCCTTCTTGGATTATATCCTAAGGAAACAGTCATTGATTGTGCAAAAATTTAGCTACCAACAATGTCAGTTGAAACATTATTTACAATAAAGATCGGGAACAAATGATATAATCACTATTGGGAATCAATTACAAGATGAGGGTCAATCCATATAATGAAGATGCTTTTGGGGAAGTCTGAAAGACCAGCTGAAAATGTTCATGACATAGTAAGTAACAGAAAGAGCAAAAACATTGTTCAATATACTACCATTTTTTAAATTATAAAAGAATATGTGTTTGAAAATGTATATCTGTGGAAGAATGTACAAAAAATTAGAGGGAGATGACGTTAGCAGACAAAACAAGAAGATACTTTATAGTTTTTTCTGTGTATTTATAGCTGTGTGTTACATATCCTAAAATACATGTATTTTGAAAAGCAAGTTACTAAATAGTACACATAGTGTGATTTCTTTTTGTTTGGTTTCATTAGAAAAAAACAAAAACAAAAACAAAAAACCACTGTGACCGGGCATGGTGGTACTTGCCTGTAATCCTAGCCTTTGAGAGGCTGAGGCAGGAAGATGGCTATGTTTAAGCCAGCCCCGGCTACAGAGTGAGTTTGAGGCCAGTCAGGACTACATGGCAATGACTTGTCTCAAAAAACAAGCAAAACAAAATGCCAAAAACCAAAACAAAACCAAATAAAAACACAAAAAGCCCTAACTGTACATCTCTACACATTTTTACCAAAAAAACTAAAATATGTATCAAAAAGGATAAAAATATTCTGTCTTGGGTAGAGGACTAAAAGTTGAATTTGGTCATTTGTTCTCCTAAGTTTTCTACAATACACAATGAAACTTTCATACTGAAGCAAAAGGTGTAATTTTTTTCTCCAAAGAATCTACCACAAAAGTCCAGGAGAAGATGATGACACAAGTCAGATTCATGTTTAGTGCTCGTCTGCGTGTGGCAGTCAACAATGATATCTGAAAAGCATGCAATAAAATCACTGTCTCTACTTTTAGGAGGGGTGGTGAGAAGGAAGCCAAACAGGTAGTAAAGTGAACAAACTTGCTTTTGCTCAACAGCTCTCTGAAATCTCTCTTGGACAAATGCACAGAGAATTCAGCCCTACCATCTTAATATTAACCAATGTGCCATGCAACTTTGAGGGGTGGATCGTTCAAGTTAGGGGCACAGTGACTGTAGTACTATATTAAGCATGTGTATCTAAGTGATCAGACAGGCCAATGGGCCTGTGTGCTTGTTCTATGAAGCTGTGAGAGGGTGTCCTCCCCTAGTTCTGATTTCTGGGCTTTCTCATTGGGATGGCAACAATCTCACCCCCATCTGTCCAGCTTAACCCATTTAAGCAAGATCTCTCTCCTTGCCTCCATGTTGGGACTAATCACTCCGAGTCCTTCCTGATGCATGAAGAGAAAGAACCCTGCCACTGTGAGCTGCTTCTGCAGGCCACCTCTGAGCTCCTCTTCATCCTTTAGATGCTAACAAACAGTTTTACAACTTTCTAGTTTGGAGGCTTGGGCGAAGGGAGTTTTTTTATGTATGCCTATGCTAGGCCTGAGAGTAGTTTTGAATTAGGATTATGGGAAGCCATGATGTAGGAGGAGAATAGAGAGAAAGATATGATAGAGGTAAGAAAACAGGACTAGAAAACGTGGCAACTCGAGTGGTTCATCATTTTCCTCTTCTCCAGGGTAAGAACTAGTGGCTGGTAACTGGGAACTTCTGGATGTTTCTAGCACCTTCTGGCAGCCCCACTGAAACCCTTTGGGAAGCTGCATGAATATGACTGTGATGCCAGCTTGCGGGCCCCATGGCAGTGTTTGGATCTTGTAGTGGCAGAACTTCTACTTAGACAAATATCTCACGTTCAGCTTTGTGATTCTTTTCAGTCCGTATCTATAACTGTTGTTCTCTCCCAGTGCTGGGGGTGGGGTGGGGCAAGAAATGGTAGACAGATTGTTCAGATATATGCTGATGTCATTAGCAAGCAGAATGGACAACACACAGAAATCCCTGCAGGGTCTCAGGTACCTGTTCCTGGCCTGCCACCGTTCTGGCCACTAGGGTTTCTGATCTCTGGTCTTTTTCTGCCTTGAGTAAATACCAAAAGGAGGCCTGTGTGCCACCACTGACATGGTGAACAGTTTTCAACTTTATGTATATTGTACTGATTTCAAAGAGTCTCAACTGCTCAACACAGTACATATAGGGGTGCAACTAATTGTAGGATGGTTATTAGCTAGAGCTCTGGAGTCAGACTTAGCTGGTTCAAATCCTTGCTTTGTCCTTCAAGGCCATGCAACCTTGGGATGGTTAATTTTTCTGATTTCTAGTTTTCTTATCTGTCACACGGAAATAGAATCTCATAGAGTAAGTACATGAAAAAAATGAGATTGTCCATGTAAATATCTGAAGATAGTGCATTTAATAAATCCTAACTATTAACATTATTGCATCTGTATATATTTTGACTTTATACATTGTGTCACTAATCACACAAAAAAATACATGAAAGTACTTTGAAAATGTTTAAGCATCATTTAAGTTTAAGATGACATTGGTAACAATCTCATATGCATTTCCATCTTCGGGGAGACTAGGATGACATCCTGTGTCACCCAGCATATTGCACTACAGTGGGTGAACAGTAAGCCCTCAGTGACTGTCTCTCATTTGACAGAAACAACAAGGCATAGCATAAGAGCATAGATATCTGGAGACTAGGCTGGGATAAAATTAGTGTAAGGCAGGAGAGTCAGTCTGCAGTCATAATTTATTCATTCAACAAATATTTGTCGAATACACTCTGTGTGCTAGATATTGAATTCAGTTAATTTCATCAGAAAGAGGCTGTACAAGTTCCCACAAAGCCAAGGCCCAGGGCTGTCTCCATACTCCCAGCCCACACTTAAAAGCACAAAGGCTGTAGCCAGCATTGTGTACAGCACCGGACAAATGGCCAGTGGCTGCGGGGGAAGACCCATGCTTCCTGACTGTAAGTAGCTCTGACTGCAGCTCGGGGCAGAAGTGAGAGTGAAGGAGTGGGCGGCTTTCAACAGAAATGACAGAACTTCTGCCCGTGGACTGATTTTTATTTACACTTATTTAGTCCATAGCCCGATCCCCCAGCTTACACAAAGCCCTTTTCCTTGGGCATCATCAACCTGTAGGTCTGCCTTGCCCCCCGCTTGGCCCATTTCACCCTGTCCTTCTGCTGTCATAGCTGCCTACTGGCTGGGAGTTGGTATGTGTGCTCACCGAAGGGCTTCGAGAGTGGGCTGTATGGCATGTGAATCCTGGCAGAGACTCGGATCCCTAAGAGGGCGAGGAGAAAGCACAAGCCAAGACAACAAGAGAGGGAGAGTGGCAGGGGCCAAGGTCCTGGAGGGTCCTGGAGGGAGTGAGGATGTGCTAGTGTATAAATTCAGTCTCTATGTTTGCCCAACCAGTGCTTCTGGTGTTTGCTTTGTTATAATCGCCTTGAGATGCCATGGTCCATCAGAAAGATTTGGACGGTCCAGACTGTAGGCACCATATCTGCTGTCTTTGGGGTGAAACACCTGCCAGGCACTGCCTCTGACAGATGCTCTGGCCACAGTCAAAGTCACAGCGGCATCCCCATCCCAGGAGACTCCTCGCCAACTGTTCCGGCAGAAGTTAGGCCCCTTCCGTCACTGACCTGCTAGAGAGACAGGATGGCTCCCTGTCTGGGTACCTCAGATTCCAAATGTGCTTTTTGTCTTCTTTTCACATTAGGAGTAGACAGAGAATTGGGGGTGATGAGAGGAAGAAGGGGGTGCTGGAAGAAGTAGGGGGGAAGTGACAGAACTGGGCAGGCTGTTGTCCAGGGGTGCTTGAAAGTTCCTGGTCGGGATGGGTGCAGCTCTGGAGAGGCTTCCTAGTTACATGGCTTCCTTTTCTCTCTGGGAACATCTGCTCAGCTTCATCTCCGTCAGCTGGATATACCGAATCACATTGGTGTCTGTGAGGAGAGAAACACACCTTAGGGACACCCAATGAGGGCTGTAAGTGCAACCACCCAGATTGGGGCCAAAGCTGGGTCTGCAGCTCAGGCCCAAGCCAGACAGATCATCACTCTGCGTCCGTGCCTTCTGCCTTCCCACAGTGACGGCTGAAAAAGCCGCCAGGTGTTGGCCTACTACGTCACTCCACTAGGCAAATGTGGACAGGTCACTGTGACCCAAAGGACAGGCGAGGTGGGATTTGTCCCTTGTCTCTCTGCAGCAACAACCCCAGAGGTTCCCAATTCTGTACAGTTAGTTGAGACTCTGACTGGAAATTAGCCTCAGGCAAATTACCAACTTCTCTGATTCGCAGGAATCATCTACAGGGAGCAAGCTTCACTTCTGAATGCCTGCTCTGTGTCAGGTTACAATCTCCATTATCTCATGGAACCTTTCCTGCAAGGCACGCATCGTCATCCTTACTGTGACAAAAGAGAAGGGAAGATGGGTTCTGGAGAGATTCAGTGAGATTCACCTGCAGAGATTCACAGGAAGTGGTATGTCTCACTCTACAGCCTGTCTCTCCTGGGGACTGTAATACCCTCCTCACAAGGCTGTTGTGAGACAAAAATAGAGAAGAGCTTACTACAATGATCAATAAATATTAGGTGAATATCAGTTTCTAAGTTTGAAGAGTTTAAAATGTCATTGCTTCATTGTCCTGTTTTTGTCTTTATTTGTAAGGTCAACCACCTTTACACAAGTGGGGCATTTCTTCCCAGTTCTGGCTCTTAAACTAGCAAGATATAGCATGAACAGGACATGAGCAGGACATGACATGGAATAGTTGCTTAGCTCTGAAGCCACAAGAGCAGAAGATTTATAGGGAAATGCAATACAGTATATCTACTTCTAGAAGTAGAAATTAATACTGTATTATGCTCAAAGTACCAAACAGAGCATCCGGAATAGCACTGAGATATAGGTGCTCAAGAAAATTCTGTCAAGTGAGTCCAATTCTTAATCCTCAAGTTGCTTACAATACAGTTGATGGGACACAATTCATATATAGGGAAAAGTTAACAAAAATAGATATTTTTTTTAAATAAACAAAGAAAAATTATACATTTGGACATTTGAAAATTGATTCTAACGTTCTTAAAGACTCCACAGAAGAAGAATTGTATTAAAAAAGTCAGCCAGCTAGTTGTGGTGCCTCTAATCCCAGCACTACGGTAGATTGAGACAAGAAGCTCACAAGTTAGAGCCTAACCTGGGCAATTTAGCAAGAACCTGTCTCTAAATTTAAAAATGTAACAGGGTTGGGATGTAGCTTGGTGCAAAGGCTCTGGTTTAATTCTCAGTTCCACAAAAACAAGCAAATAAACAAATCAACCAGCTGAACAACAACAATGACAACATCAAGTGGAAGCCATTGTTTAAACGTTACCTCCTCAGAGAAGCTCTTTCTCACTCCCTTGTCTAAGAGAGCGCTTTTTATTCTGCTCTGCTTCCTTTATAGCATTTACCACTACAGAATAAATAATACGTCATCTCTGTCCAGCTGCATACAGCCTGCTTTCCTCCATTATAATGGCTGCTCCATTATAGATGGCAACTTTCTTTTGTTCAATGCTATGTACCAACCACCAAGAACAGTCCCTGGCCCGTGGTACCCCTCAATAAACATCTGTGGGATGAATGAGTAAATGAATGGCTGGGCGAGCTAAGGTACATGAACTAAATGAAAGGACAGTAACGCTGCTCTGAGAAGCGTAGGCGTCAGAAGGCGCATCCTGAAAGAGGCTGGGCTTTGCAGCAGAACTGTCTGTATTCTGTCCTGGCAACCACATGTGGCCTCCTCATGGGTAGGGACTGTGTTTTGTTATCTACATCCCTGGCACAAATTCTGATAAATAGTAAAACTTCTGTGTGATAAATAGGAAAACTTAAGTGAAGAGAGGAAGATTCTAAGCTGGAACTGGTAAGACATTAGGGGCTGGGGATTTAGCTCAGCGGCATAAGCACCTGCCTTGAAAGCAGGCAGCTGTGAGTTCGATCCCCGGTACCAATAAAAAAAAAAAAAAAAAAGACATTCTATGGGCTGCACGCCGAGAAGGGGAGTCCATACTTTCTAGAACCCAGACCCTGTATAGATGCATGGATGGTGTGGTCTCCTCATGCCAGGGCCTACCGTACATCTGACTCCTAGTTTGGCATCTCTGCCCCTACCTGGCCCTGCCAGCCACGGAAGCTCTTGGCTGTAGTGAGAAGGCCCAGGAGCTGCCACACGCACTGACAATGAGAAAGCAGCAATGGCTGCCTTACCTGTTGGCTGTCGGGTCCTTGCTTCTTTCAGGTAGTAGAGTGCTTTGTCATAGTCCCCAAGGTGGTAGAAGGCCACACCAGACCGATAAAGGGCCTTGAAGTTCTCCCCTTCCTTTTTCAGGACTTTGAGGCAATACTCCTTAACTCGTTCGTAGTTCACTAGCTCAGCTTGGAGCAGACAGGCTGTGGAGGAAGGGAGAAAGGAGGGGAAAGGTCATCAGTGCAACAGTCACAGCTCCTAAATGTCTCTCTTCAGTTCCTTCTTTCCTCAGCTGTATGTGGAAGTCCTCCTCACCCCTAGTACCTGACAGTGTGAGCTGTTTGGACCAGAAGAAATAATAATGATAATAATATTAACAAGCGCCTGCCTTGCAATTGCATGGTTGTGAGTTCGATCCCTGGTACCAGTAAAATAATGAAATAATAATATTAACAACAACAACAGCAACAGCAACCATGGGGAATATTTGTTGAATACTTACCTCATGTGTTATCTCATCATTTCACAGCCTCAGAATAGTGTGATACAGATATTACTATTACTTCCATTTTATAGGTAAGAAAACTGAGGCACAGAGAGTTGAAGAAATTTTCCAGTGGTACACAATGGGAAAGAGCCAAGGATGAGATTTAAACGCAAACAAACACTGAAAAGCCTGCCATTTCTCGGCAAGACTTGGCCAAGTGGGAAGGTCTTTGCCCTCAGACTGGAAGAAGTATCTTCAGGATGAAGGCATGTTACTCATTTTAATTTTAATTTTAAGAGGTACAACTTCAGTTGTTTTGATCCCTTAAACACCTTTCTCAATCACTGGAATAACCAAACTTCTTTTTAAGAGACTGGATCTTTCATTGCACGTTTTGAACAATTGAACAAACTCTTTAGCAGATGGAGGAGGCGGTAAACTACACAGACTGTCAAATTAAAGCAATGAAAACCTGAAAGTGAAAGGGAACCAGTAGCTCAAATCTAGAAACTGACCTGTAGGTCATCACTGGTTACAGGGCAAAAGGCAACAGGACAGAGGCCTGTCACCCCCAGGTCACTGATGTTTTCCAGGGACTATGACCAGTGCTGGATGAGGGGCTCCTTCCCCATGAGCAGACACCACAGCACCACTCCCCATCCGACCCTCCTCCCAAGTCCACGCAGAGGTGCTCTGCAGACGGAGAAGGGTTAGGTGAAAAAGTTCCTGGACATGAACGCCACTGACTGCTAGCGGGTTATAATATCTAGATATCTAATATCCAGATCTAAAGGATTTCCTGCAGGTAGCTTCCCTGTACTTAGTCTACTGTCCTGACAGGCACAGCCGCTACTTCCAGTCCGGCCCTCCATCGTCAGACACATAATTCTGTTTGCTGACCTGGGCAGTCTAGGAAACAGACCTTTGTTTCATTTAAAAATAGTTTTTGAATGTCTAAAATAGCAGGGAAAGGAAGCAAAGAGTGCTGTAAATGGGAGTCTTCCTCCTTCCCTAGCTCCCAAAGCATGTAAGGAAATTTGATCCATTTCTGGGACTCATTTGGTGAACATGTTTCTAACACCCTGCGGGCACTGTTGTGGAATCTGGGATGCCTGACAGCATCCAGGGTTGAGACATGTTGGGAGGCTGGTTACAGGGTAGAGGACTAGGGAGACCAAGAAACAGACTGCCATCCAGGGAAAGGCTGGCCTTGAGGGTGGAATGTAAGAGGTAGTATCCAGATAAGAAGCTAGGGTGCAGGTTTCCTATGTGGAGAAGATGGAGGATATCTGGGGGCCGCCCCGAGCCCCACCTGAAGATGATTTGGCAGTCTCTCTCTGCTTTGGGTGTGGAGCTATCGGTGCACATACCAAGCCCAGAGTAGGTAAAACGGGATGTTTAGAGCCACATTTGAGAGCTGTAGGACTCAGGAAGAAAGGTTGACTAACTGCTTCTTAATAAAATTCCCCTGTTCACATGATCATTAACTGGAGCATGGGGTTGTGGTAGACACTTAGAATAAGTATATTGCCCCGTGGTGGTGTGTTCTTTTCAGTTATTAATCCCTTATGCAATGTCCATCCTGGAACTCAGTAATCCTCACAACTCCATGAAATATGTTTTATTTTTATACTTTGTTCATAGATGATGAAACTGAGTTCTAGAGAAATTACGTAACTTGCTGAAGGTCATCCAACTAGAAGGGGATGGAATTAGGATCAACCCATTTGTGCCAGTCTCCCAAGGCTTCACTTGCCCATTGGGGTGTCCATGGCCTGCACTTAAGGCTCATGAAAACCCTCATAATCCCTAGGGAGAAGCATGCTTCATCTGTGCAAACCACCACCCTCTGTATTCCAAGCAAACGGTAAAATGTGACACAGACTAGCTGATGCTCTGCTCCATCCTCTGGCCTGAAAGACTAGAGGGGAAGGCGGATGCTGCAGGCTCTCAGATGTTCACAAATGGGCCAAGTGTTGTGAAGAAGGGCTGAATGGCAGCACTGCACGGAGGGGAAGGATGCCCACCTAGCCAACCATCATGGGAAGCTTCCTTGGAAGAAATGATTTTTAGACTGAGATCTAAAGAGTGCTTTTCCACCTCAGCACTATTCTGGGTTGGATGATTGTTTTGTTATGGGAAGATATCTTGGGCATTGTAGGATAATGGTAGTGTCCTTGGTCTTTTCTCATTAGATGCCAGTTGTAACAACCAAAAAAAAAAAAAAAAGTAAAAGTCTCTGAATATTGGCAAGTATCACATGGAGAAATAAAACACCCATTTGAAAACCATTGGTCTCGGTGAAATGGAGATAAAGTTTTCTGGACAGCAGAGACAGCCCAGGTAAGAGTCAGAGCTAGAAGAATGTGAGCCATGACTATTTGAGAAGCCATCCAGGCTGCAGCACAGTGTCAGAGGCACGGGTAAGAGAAAATAAAGCAGGAAAAGCAGGAAGTCCAGCCACCCAATTCCATCCTGTCCATGTGGAGGGTCTGGGACTTTATTCCAAGGCAGAGTGGATTTGAATGATGGAATGATAGTAACGGGGGTAGAGGGAAACAAGCAGGAGAAATGAACAGTCTCAAGGGACATGCTGGAGTCGGAAGTGACCAGCGTTGGAGAAGCTTTCCCCAGTGCTATCCACATTCATGAAGTTAGATTCTATCCGACTCTTGCTTGTGATTTTGAATTTATTGATAAAGTCTCTTCACATTGCTGCAACCTGGCCTCTAACTGAATTAAGCTTTGTAATAGTCTCTATACCCTGTGATACGGCATGCATCAACATTTCAAAACATTTTTGTGGTCCTGGGGACTGAACCCAGGGGTGCTCTAACACTGAGCTCCATTCTCAGCCCTTTGTTTTTGCTGTTTGTTGTTGTTGTCATGGTTTTGAGACAGGGTCTTTCTAAAATTCTTATGTTTATCTTGGATTTGCCACTCTCCTGCCTCAGCCTTCTGAATATCTGGGATTACAGATGCATGCCCTTGTGCACAACTTGGAAATATTTGCCACTTAATGGAAGAAAAATTGTTCACTGATTCTTCTTTGAAAGGAAGCCCATCTTCCTCATTAAGGTGAAGTATTTTCTGTTGGTCATGGCAGTCAGAACTGGGGCTTCTGTAAGATAATTCCTCTCCTGCTCTATAGAGTTTTGACTGGAATGAGGCCAATACAGTTTTCTGAGAGAAGGCTCTGGGGGCAGGACCTTCCCTGACAGCAGGTTGTGGCATGGGAAGGCAGGTCTTGGATTAACTAGAAACAAAGCTTGTGGAACAGAAGTATGAACTTGGCCCTGAAGCTGTGTGTGGACTCAAAGGACAGTCATTTGGCAGAAAAAGAGGTGCGGAGTGGGAGACAGTCTGCAGGGGACATGTGTGGATGAGCTTGGGTTCCCGGACAACCATATCCAAGAAATACTATTAATGTTCTGGTCTCTAAGGCTTCTAAAAAGTCTGAATAAATTCTGTGCCCTGGAATCAGACAAGCTGCAGAGAATTAAGACCAGTTCTGTTCATTCTTGGAAAAGATAAAGTCAGTCTTTCTTTCTTTTTTTTCCTTTTTGAGACAAGCTCTCATTATGCAGTCCAGGCTGGCCTTGGGCTCACTTATAGTCCAGGCTGGTGTTGAACTTGCAATGATCCTCCTGCCTCAGCCTCCAGAATGCTGGGATTGATAAAGCCTTTCTTCAGCCTAAAGTGACAGTAGCAGTGGTGGCCAGTGCAACTTATAAGATCAAGGTAAATTTGGAGGACAAGTGCTGTGGCTGTGAATGCCGAACCATCTGTCCCCTGTGGAGATTCCTCCTCCATGCCGGCTAGGTTGGTTGGGGATGATTATGTGAAAAGAGGTAGCAGGCTTTCTTAGCTCCACAAAGGTATCAGTGGTCATAAAAAGGTAGGGAATCAGTGACTTACAGAGCCCCACTGTACACTCATGCACATGGACAGAGAAAACTGTGAGTTGGATGTTCTCTAAAGCAACCATGCTAAGTCTTTAGCTACAGCCTGTTGGGTTCTCCTCACTCTGGCACCTGCTTTGGTTTTGTTTTTCCTGGTGCACACAGGGCATAGTGACTGCCTGGGCAAAATGCCACCCACTGGCATGAGATGAAGGGAAATCAGATGAAAGGGAGAATAAGCTTGTGCAGTCATTGGCTGTCATCTTATGGTTGATTCACTATTGTTTTCTCTTACCTCCTGAATGACAGGGATACAGTGGCTGGAAGGGAAGAAAGGAAAGATCCCAGGGCCTGGGAGTGTGGAGAAGGAACCCACTCTACAAGGCTGCTTTGCTGTGCTGTGTGGCCTTGTGTACTCCCAAAGAAGACTTGTTGGAGTCCTAAGGCTCAGTCCCCCAGCATTGACCTCAGTGAGGGTCTTTGCAGGTAATCAGTTTAGGAGATCATTAGAATAGGCTCTAATCCAAGGAGAAAAGTTGGACATAGAGACAGACACGCACACAGGAAAGACTACACAGACCCGAGAATAGCTGAGGCTATCAGATGCTGGCAGGAGGCAGGGAACGGATTCCTCCTCACAGCTTGATTTTGGACTCCTAGTATCTGGAATCCTGAGATAATAAATTTCTGTTACTTTACGCTATCCACAACTTTCCCAAACTAGACTTTTTGTGAGTTTCCTACAGCAGCCCAAGGAAACCAATCCACCTTGCTGGTCACTTCTTGGTGAGATGAGCCCATGAAATGGCCATTA